GTTAGTTTTGGTCTCCACTAACTCCTGAGACAAATACCTGTCTCTTTAGCTGCTAAATGCTCCACTGTGTTTACCAGCTAGTCTCTAACTGTGTCTGCCTGCGGTTTGCTGCTGAGCAGGCAGTGTACAGTGGGTTTTAAGAGGTCTTTTTCTGAAAACAGCTGCCTGCTGTGGCTGAAAACAATGCTGGGAGCGATTATAGCGAAACAAACAGTAAAGTTGTGGGGCTGGCAGCTAAACAATGAGCTGAAACTCACCATAAGGCTCCAGAAAGTTGAGAGAAGCTGCAGATTCAGGCGATAATTCTCTGTAAGTTCATCACTGAAAACAACCTCTTTTACATATTTTGCATTGTTTTCACATTGGAATGTTTTTTATGTATAAAAACAAATTAATTATAGCCACATTAAATTAAGGATTTAATTTCAACATTGCTGCATCAAAGACACACTTCTTGCACTTGCATTTAACATTTGCATGTAAGATGGGGAATAGTCCAAATCAAAACTCCCCTCAGACTGTGTGGCAACAAGGCAGTATAACTGTAAAGTATGCTAACAGCAGCTCTGCATGCTACACTGAAAGCTCAGAGTTAGCACATTACAAGGAAACATTTGTGGCGATGAATTAATGAGCAGTTTGTTTGAACGTAGTTTCAGCTTCCAGGCTCATGAGCTGAATGCATCTGCACTATTAGCAAACATGGTTTATGAGATATTACACATGCTACATTATGTGTTAATATGAGATGCAAGAGTATGTGAAGTCTTACACTCATAAAAAAGCATTTAGCTTTATTGAGACATACATCACAGCATGGCAGCAGCCCCTGGAGTCACTATTTCCTTCATATAGCCTTAACGTCACTGAAAAGCCCATTGCTATCAATGAAACTCACAGCTATGCTTGTTAGATGAGCAAAATGAGATTTACTTTCATGTATTTTGTAAATTACATACTGCTCAGTGAAGATCAGAGTGGGATCAAACAGCTTTCAACTGCACATAGCTTCTTACAGGAAAGTGAAGTGTTTTGCCCTCAGTTCTTCTGGCTGAATTTGGTTCTTGGAAATTCATAAAAAGCATCCTCTTACCTTGGCTCTGTGTTATTGTGAACACACGACACGTTTGCAGCTGACATTAAAGCGGGCTCAGTCCACACCATTGATTTCAGGAGATAGCCCTGCTGATATGTCAAGGCCGGCCGGGGTGAGGGTGGCTGGAAATGCAGCAGAGCCCTTGTAGAACGAGGGGCTGAAAATCTGAGCAAACATTGTTAAGTGCTGATGGTGGGCATGCTGGCAAGTAGATTTGCCCTGGGAGGGAGGTCTCCTCAGTGCACTGACTCCTCTGCAGCTTTTCACTCGCTGTTGTCTTTCCCCTCAGTGGAGCTGCACCAGAAAGTCAGGAATTTCTGCCTGTTACAGCCAACATCTCTCCTGCAGACTACATGTAGGTGTAGCAGTTGACTGTAAAAACACAGTTTTATTCCAATTAAGGAGCTATTTACAGTTGAGCTGCCAACAACACTTATGTCATTTGTAGCCCTGCTTTAAAAGTCTCATTTTTATAAATTTCATCTCTCCACTGACAGCCAGTTTTAAACCTTTTGATTTACCCCCTCTCCCCTGCATTGCAAGAAAATTGCATGTCAAAATAAGTGACTGCTTTACATGGCAACAGCGTAGAATGAGACGATTGTTTTCTTGTGCACCGCTGAGGGAAAAGCTGAATCTTCCTGTAGCGCTCTTCAACCTCACAAGTTTCTGTTGACTAAAACACTGCACACATCATAAATATACGGCATAATGTTGAGTCAGGAGAACTGTAACTAATGCTTGGGCATCAAGGTTTCTTGTCACAGTTTGGTTTTAAATTACCACACAGGAACACTCAGGCCGGTAAACTGATGTGTGAAAGACCACAAATGGATGAGTTTGGTGTTTTGCAGCTCACATAGCAGGGTCACTAACACGTGAATTACCTGCATTCCCTCGACCAAAGCGATGAAAATACAGCTGCTAAAGCTGAAGGTTTAAAGCAGCCACAGATTTTCCCAAGCCTTAAGCCTGCATAGTAGAGTTCACTGGGTCCACCATGTCCCACACTAAAGGAACACGTCTCCATCGTCCTCATTATCCCCCTTCACCAGGCATACAGACCAACAAAGGAGGCAGGAGATGACAGTGTGTCCTCTGGGGGAAACACTCCACTGCCATCAATATACCAGCCTTGCATTACATGTCTGATGGATTTATCAAGCCATCGATAACTTATTGACCGGAATAACGCTCAAGGTCATTTTGGAAGAGTCTCCAGTAGCCCTGCTTAACACAGTGCAGTAAGAGGTTAATGTCAGTGCTCTGTCCTGTTCCTTTAAGGTGCAATGAGTTCAGATTTCACTGCCTCATGAGGTCAAAACGACCATAATAAATCTAAGGGAGGTTATCAAGAGCTTCTAATCAATACCAATGTACGGAAGCTTATGGCTGCCAATACTGAAATAAAATAATTTGGTAAAATTGGAATTTTAATTGAGATTAGTGTGTTCAACAAAGTCTTGCTTTAGACATATGAAAACAGGTAAAGACAATAAATACTCGGGCTCGCACATCAAATATATGGCACATATCTTTACAAGATTTCAAGGGCGAAGATTTTGTGTCAACATTGTGGGGGGGCATATGAGATGGGGGTTTCGGGTGTCCTATGCCAGAAAATTTTGTCACTTAATTAGAATTCATCCTGTTTCTAATGGGGGACACAAATGTACATGTTCTAAATATTGAGGGGGACGTTTCCTCTGTGAACCTGCACCCCACCATTCAGATCTACACCTTTGCAAGATTTTATGTATTATATTACTAATTTTCAAATATGAATACAACTTTTTTTTGTTTCTTTTTTTATTTGAAACGCACAAAATGTACAAAATAAAACAGAAAAGGCTGCAATATGGCCATGTGAATAAGCAGAAAATTCACTACACTCTTTAGAAGAAATATATATATACTGTATATGTATATATATATACATTTTGGTCACACGGAGTGCGTTGTAGCAGCTGGAAGTGGCTTTTTGTTATTGTTCTTAATGAGAAGTAAGCTTTTTGCTAACTGTTTTTGGCGTTTGGTGTACTCCCCGAGATCCACCCCTTTTTTAGGCTCATGTACCCACTAGATCTCTGTTTCCCTGTGCCAACAAAATATTTGCTGACAGCTTCTCACCCTCAAACAGAGCAAGAGCAAGTACCCTTTGACTAGCCAGGTTAGGGTAAGGGGTGATAGGGTGGTTGCCTGGCAACAGTAAAAAGGCACAGGAAGGGTTGTTTTTACCAGTGGGATTTTTTATTTATTTATTTATTTATTTATTTATTTATTTATTTATTTTTATGTAAAGGCAGTGCGGTTGCAACTGCAAAACACTTTCTGTGTGACCAGGGCCTTAGAATCCTCAAACCTGCAAGTGGGTGTGAAAGGCATGTTTTCTTAAAAAATGTCCAAGATCATGCCATTTGTCATAGCCCGAAACTGTGAAATATGGTTATTTATGGTGGAGGGAGGGTCATGCATTTTCCCTCAGACACTCAGGGAGGCTTAAGGAAAAATATTTGTAGCTCCAGGGAGGGTTATGATATTAAAAAGAAAAAAGAAGAAGCCGAAAATGTCACACCACTGCCACCCCCTTACCCTGATAAGTGAAGTACAGTCCCTTGGTTAACATTAGCCACTATGGGCCACTGGTTATATCACATCACATAAGACTGTAACAGCAAAACCACGGAGTCTGTTGAAATGAGCAAAGGTGTGTTTTATTACCTATGAATCCAACATTTAAGTTTAACAAAGCAGGTGTGCTGTATATCCTTGTAAAGGTCATATGCTTTTATTTTAATGGACAATGAATACTCAAGACCCAAGAGGTGCTTAGCGTCTTCTTGTATTGATGAGAAGGGCTTATCTGAAAAGGAAACAGTGTGAACATAGTGGATAGAATTTAGCAGTGCAATGTTTATCTACGGTGTGTGTGTCGGTACTGATGTTAGGTGTACTGTAGCATTTTAGTACAGAGATGTGCTGTTTGCATATTTCTCTCACAGGGGATTTCATGTAAACCTCCCGCTGCTATCAGTACGCTGATGTGGAAAAATCTGCAATTCATGCTCATCAGTGTATCTACTGCAGCACTCCCACCTCTTATCATGAATGTACTCCAAACTCCAAAGGTTTATTTGGTCAGTGGGTTTAAGGTCAAAACTGTTGTGCATATTGTTCAGACCCAGAGCCGGGGAAGGCATCCCTGTAGCTGTGTGTTGGTGTGTGGGAGGCAGCGGCAATGAGAAGCTGATGGTAAATCGATAGTGATGGATCAAAGTGCCGCATGGCTGGAGCCCTGTGGTGTCAGGGTGCGGGGAACAACGGTGACTTTTTAGCCCTCCTCCCTTCTTCTCATTATCCTCGCCTCCTACCCCTCTTTTTTTATCTTGAAATTCCAACTCCTCTCTCTTACCCCATACTTGTGGCATTTTAGATGTGTCTGAATGTGTGTGTGCGTGAGAGAGAGAAAGAGACAGAGAGAGAGGTGATTTGATGTTTTGTGTCATGGTGTCAGGTGGCATCAGCCAGTAGTTGATGGGAAGATAAAATGTAACACAATCAATATCCGAACACTAAAATGGTTCTCATTTCCAGCAGCCTTCTGCTCCACTTGTGTCTGCATATCTGTTGCTGTAACATGTGGCCAATATTTGACTCAAAAAAAAAGAGATGTTATTCATAAAACAAAGCTATTGTGCTGCTTTATTGTCTAATGTTTGTCATAAATGTTCATTTTCACACAAAAAATGACAATTTCACTTTCAAGACTTGTTTTGTGAATTTAATCCCATCCCTGCTTTTCAGTGCAAACACAATGACTGCCGGTTGTTCAATGTGACTGTATTTCTCTGTAATATTACAAGCAGAACAATCTAATAAATAACCACTTGGTTGTGTTTTCTAGGAGAAAAACATTGGCCGGTCCGCTCCCAGAGTCACCATGGTAGGGATGGCTGTTCTTTGTTAAAGGGTCAAAGTTGCCTCTAACCACTTCTTTATGATTTCTGTATTTTTCTTATGAACCTGTTGATGATTCATAGTGGTAGTCTAAAGTAACATCTGATCAGTGTTTGGAGGCAGCTTACACCTGGACTGTTAATTGTAGTGCAGTGCCTTCCCATTGACCTCTATCTCTCTATATACCTAACCTGTGTATTTTCCCCTTGACATTTAGCTCTCCTGTCTGTGTGATGAATACATGTGTGCAGTCTGGTGTGTGTGCGCTGGTTTTTAGGGGTGTAACGGTACACAACGTTCACAGTTTGGTGAAAAATAATAATTAAGACATGCACAGCAGGTTTATAGTGCAGTTACACTTACACCGCTTTAGATCAGAAGGTCAATACTCTTGTGTGTGTTAAGTATGGATCTGGAACCAGGAGGCAATTAGCAAAGTTTGGGGTCTGTCCAAAGTACAACAAAAATACACCTACCAACATCTCTCAAGCTCACTTTTTAAATCACATACTACCTCATTTGTTTAAGTTATACAAAAAAAAAAACACATCAATTTGTGTGGGTTCAGCTAGTAGCAGTGACTTCCTAGAGTCTTGTCACAATCAGGTTACCAGGAAAGTGCGAGGTGGAAAGATGAAGTGTTGTTTGTCAAGAAGTCTCATTACGTAACTCTGTCTACTTTTGTACACAGTTCAGTACCTCTATAATCCTGATGGTTCAGCTATTACAGTAAACGTGACTGTCCTACAGAGCAGGCACTAACTAAAATGCACATGTTAAAAGAGGTGTATACAATATCCAGAGCATATTTATGATTAAGAGTGTGATTCAGGTTGTCTGCACACGCTTTGCAACATGGAGGTGGCTGAACCGGTGGCTTGCAGCTAATGGTGCTAACTCCATAAACAGCGGTAACAATGGCTTACAGAGCTAACGGTGTTAACCTGAGGGGAAGCTGGCAGGCACCCATGAAATGCATTGGATTTTGCAGCCAATTTGAAATAGCAGCCAAATGGTGTAACTGTAACATCCAGGTCTGTTACTTGATGCCTTTGGGCCCAAAATTTCTTTTTACCATAAATTTACATTGGGAAAGAGACATCTGTAAATTTGTTAAGTGTCACAGTCCCCCCGAAATTAATCATTTGACTGTTGGGATTCGAACCATTTGGCCCAATTACACACAATTTAAGCAATTTATCCCCACTCAAGTTAGTGGAGCGCTAAACCAGAAGTAGTCAGCTTGGCCAGTGGAAGTTAGCCACCATAGCGCACTTGCTTTATTGGCCCTATGATGCGGAAGATCTAGGTAATTTTATACCTGGAAAGTCAAACTTTTTTGACATCATGCGCCACTGAGATAGAAATGAATGTGGCCACACCTCCAACGCTGTATCCAGTTGTCTTTATACATCAATGGGACCCACAGGGTGGGCGCTATGGTTCTTCAATGGCACTGTGGGTCTGGATGGCGTTACCGGCATTAGCTCCTGTGACGCGATTAGCTAGCCTGTGGGATAAACACAAAGGGACTCACATGCACTAACATGCACTTGCTGCCAGGCCATCTACTACAACACATAACAGAGAAGTTTGGATTATGACACACACTGAGTTAGCGTGACTTAATTCTTTACTCAGGACGCCATTACTCCACTATATCTTCACATAGCAAATAGTTGTTTGCCGCTATATTAATGCTCTGAATGTCGTGTACGGCTCCTTTGAGGAATATTATAGTCCTGTGATGGACAAATGCCGTTGGAAATAGTTTAGGCCAACATGCTTAATTTTTACTGTTGTTTCTGTTTCAACAAACATCATACCGTTTCAACTTTAACTATACCCAACTAGCACAGTCTAGCTCACAGATAACAACTGTCACACTGCCAAAGCTCTCCACATGAGACTCTTGCTCTTTAAAATAGACTAAACCATATTCCCCAGGTATTGAAACTAAATTACACCGTTTTAAGCTAATTCACAAGTGAACTGAACAAATCCACAATTTTGGGCAAACACATGTACCGTTACACCCCCTATCTTGTTCTGTTTAAATGAACTGTGTGGTGATGTGGGCTCGCCTTCAAGGAAACATTGTAAAGAGGGGATTTCAATTGCACTACAGTTTTTGTTTTCAAATAAAAAGTCCATTCTATGTGTAGAGTTTGGGCCTAATTAATGAAAAGCTAACCAAACTAGGACACACTGAATGTAAACAAGAATATTGTGCACCTCTTGATGTTTGTTGCAGCTGGCCCACATTGTTGTTTCTTCATTGTGTTGTGCCTTAAAACCAAACTGGTCCCATTTCACTCCTCTGTTCTAATCCCTGCCCTTTGAAATGTATGTTTTGAACTGTTTCACTGCAGCTTTTTCTGTGTTGTCCACTTTACTGAAATGAATGTCCTAACCTCTATGGTGTGCGTGGTCTTCGACTCTGTCCGTCTCAGTGGAGAGGAGGGCTGGTCTATAAAGGCACGGATAAAGGCAGTTTTGATGATGTTACTTCTTTTATTTTAAGAAGACATCAGATAAATCTGTGCTTATCCTTGCTTAAGATATACGGACCCTCCTCTTCCTCCTCTACCTCTTCCTCGCCCTCCGCCTCCTCTCAAAGGAAGTCTGCTTTTCAACAGCCCACAAATGGAGTCGGTTGGTATGTCAATCAACGGTTGAGAGAAATGGCTTTTTTATTCCTACTATGTGACATCCCATGAAAATGCCATACTGTGACACTGTTTGATTTTCAGGAAAGATTATTACCTTTGAGTCACCTCAGCTTAGTAGCCAGGGTACAGAGTGAAACCAGACGGGCTCTGTAGGAACATCATGAAGCACTACTTCAATAAAATGCCTTTCTTATTGCCTTTTAACACACAAGGTCACCATAGTCCACGTTGGGTTCAGTGTCTATCACATTTCAAAATGAACTGGATATGAAGTCCATCTCAACCTCCTGCCCTTCCCCATCCCTGCTGAGTCTATCGTGGCACATTTGTCAAGCTGCAGAGGCAGTGACATGTCAAGTAACTACTTGGCCTTTGGTGTCTTGGGGGTGATTGTGAGTTATGAGATAAAGAGCGATACTTACTGGCAATATAGATAGAAACAGTCTGGAATGGGATTTTATTGCACTTGGAAGAACACAGGAACTTTGCAATCTGCAGCTCTAGTGGCTCTCATTAATGGACTAATCTATGAATGCATAATGATATCCGAGTGTTTCAGTGTAGCTATTCATTTCAACCAATTCAAAACATGCGTTAATTGGTTTTCACTCATTAGCAGACATGAGATGTAGATTAACTGACAAGCACAGCCATTTAGCAGTGTACTGTATTTGGAGACATTAGGCATACAAATGGTTATAGTGCTAATACAAAACAATATTACCAGAGTCTTAACTGTATTAGTTGGCCTTTTCTTTAAATGTGCCAGTACTTGTTGATTGCATTCCCGTGAATGTAATGCACCGTCTGCTGTTATCATGACATAGACATGCAATAGGTAGAATCAATAGGAAATTTCATTTTTAGGCTTTTTGTTATTTAATGTGCAAACAGAATTCGAAATTTGGAAAAGACGCACCAAGCAATATTTTTACATGAACATTGCAACTGTATAATGTTAAAGGTTTAGTGACTAGCCTAGGAGAATTATCACCAACTGTGCAGTTGCTCTCGACTCTGCCGAGGGCTACCTGCTTAATGAATTCAGCGTGAAATAAGCTGTGATAATAGGCGGCGTGCTCCACTTCACACTCGTTTCAGGAGCTATAGAAAAACATGATTTGTTTGTCTGAGAGCCGATGGATTTGGGGCATAAACATAGACCCCTTTATAGCTGACGTTATCAAAAATATGGGTGTGCACGCTGGCAATGAAATAGGCGTTTTGCCCCAGCTGTCCAGAGAAAGTTTGCAAGCTTTAAATAATGAATTAAAACAGTTAACAGCATCAGAATGTCAGGCTGTTGTGTGTTTGGTTGTCAGAACTGATATTAATATTAATATGATTATATTAAACAGATAACAGCAGACTCAAATTGTGCTGAATATTGACAGGATCATGACTGTTACAGAGTAGCAGTGTTTCAGTTTAACAAGTTAACTGGTGACTTAGCAGGTCTATAAGTGCAGCACCTTTATATATGTCATCATCATCTACACAGTACAGGCAGTGTGGTTGGATTCGTGCAGGGGCGGGGCCTGTAGAAAAAACGGGCCCTGCATCAGTGTGATGGGTAACAAACAGGCCTTTGCAGTGACTCTGGTGCCAACTTGGAAAATATGCATATGTTCAAAGAAGAACTCATGTTAAAATAAATATGGGATCATTTGCTATATATGCACTCAAAAAGGCAAACCCATCTCCGTCATTGATAGATATGCAAAGATTGCTGGGTAATATGTAAGTTGAAGGTCAAGTCTCTATTTGATCATGTGACAAGATGATACAATATACCGTAGCTAGTTTTTCAAGACTGATAGGCTGACCAAAAATGCAAGCCGAGCAAGACTTCGTACCTTTCAAACATAAAAGCAGCAGTCAGTAAAGACGAGCAAGTGAAGAACAGGAGAAGAAGGTAGCAAAGCTCACTAAATTATATTCCTTTTTTATGAACAGTCAACAGCCCTCCTGGCAGCAATGGCAGAGTTTGGCTGGCATCTACATCAATGCTGCCCTCACTGGTGTGTCAACAACCATGCAGCTGATAGTGTTAGAGGAACAAGTTAGATAGAACATTAGTCAGGTTACTGTGCTAGACAGAAATACATATATGCCCAGTGGTGTGTGTGTGTGTGTGTGCGTGCACACTTCATAAGTAGTAACTTGCATCCACTGGGGCCCGTTGTAACTACCTTACGCCACTGTTGATATCAGTAGCTGAGATGGCTGGTCGAGGGAAAACCCACATAGCAAATTATTTTCAGTCTACTTACCACTGGGTTTGCACATTGCTGCTCTTTCTGCAAGCATATAA